GCTTTTTCTCTTTTTAATGTCTTGTATAACCTTATTTCTGAGTTCTTTGCGCTATATTTTCTCATAGGTTACCAAAGGTGAGAGTATGATCTCATCACTACAGGATAAACTGGACGTATCCTCACAACAACTTCGCGATCAGGTAAGTCGTCTTAAAAAGTAACATAGCTTTTTGCAGTGGCCTACTCACAGCTATGATGAACATTTTACGAAAATAGAAAAGTGATTACGGAATTATACGCTATCCTAAGCTGTGTGGCTTGCTGGTCTCAATTGTCTTTCAGTGCTGTAGATTTTTTCTTTTTAAGGTCTGGTCACAGGCTGAAATAATATCAGTAATATTAGTAAGTAATATTCGAGCTTGATTTAAGTCTAATTCGCCGTGTGATTCCAGCACAAATCATTTGAGATAGTACGTAAAGCTTTCATTTCTTGGTAAATTCTTGCGATCTGTTACTCTGCTTTCGACATAACGCAAATGTCGCACAGATTGACTTCGATCGTCTCATCAGTAGTAACCTACTCGCTTTCCGGAAGCCCTTTGGTCGAAACCTTTTCTTGCCAAGGGAAAATCATAGGCCATGTTCTGTTTATAAGATGACTCGCTGTTTTTCTTCGCCACTTTAGAAACGATGAGGGGACTGGTGCCGAAATGTGTCCCGTAATTGTTTCTGGGATCGTTACTAAGGATGCGCCGCGCCAGTCAGCTATTGGCCAGTTGTTTACCCTGTCCCTAGTAACAGTCCCATAAGTCTTTGCGAAAGTTAACTCGGCCCAGCTTCCTCACCGTTGCTAAAAAAAGTTGTCAATGGGGAGTCCCTTCGGTGAAACTAGAGAGCTTTAGATTCTGAGACGAGGATGACTACGAGAACGAGATTTTCCTAATACTAAGAAGTGCACGCGCGCGAACCAACGTCATTTCTGCGGGAAAGTGTGGTAGAATGTCGTAAGGGCGACAACAAGTTATCGAATGTTAATAAATTTTACCATTTAGCGATCGGAAGAGGGTTTCACTTCCTTCAACGGAAATAAGCGTGCTAACTTTTGTGGTGATAAAAAGTACAATGAAACTTTCCGGGGTGTCTATTTTTAGAGAATAGACGAGAAAAGTTAAAGTTAAATGTCGTCCTTGTCCTCGAATCTAAATTGCCATCTTAGTCTGAACCCACAGTGATGAAGAAATGCTTCTTATGTGTGTACTTTGGTATTTGCAGTTGACACAAAAAGATTTCGAAATCGCTGCCGTTCGCGAGGAAGCAGACATGTCCTCACAGCATCTTAGGGCACAGGTAAAGTTTTGTCGCAGTGTCAATAAGTTCTGAATTTAATCATTTTCTTCATTTTCTCTCTGTTACTCTCTTTCTGGTTTTCCTCCATGTGGTGGGGTTGTTGTATTTAGTGACATTGTGCTCTAACCGAAAACATGTTTTTGTAATAAAAATTGCAGCTGTCTCCTAGTGGGTGCTGTGAAACCAAAATTAAGCTACACTGTATTGACTTACCAAATACAGCAGTTCCAGCAAATCTGTAAAATCAGATCTCGAAGCAGACTCGCGTAGAGCGAAGCGTGGTAAAACGCGTGTAAGTCACAACAGGCTTTGCCTTCGGTTTTCATTGGCTGAAAAAGTGGCACGAGACTTTTGAACCAATCAAAATACGTATTAGCGCAATCACCAACTATTGCGGCCCTTACATAGATGAAACAAAAGTTGAACGGTTTGCAATCTGTTATGTGCCATAGAGAGGCTTCATTCCTTTCTTTTTTCTTTTTTTTCAGTTGGCCTCCCTGAAGAATGAGCTCAGCCAATCAGAGGCGAGGTTGACTGAACAGGTGGGTACCAAAACTGTCCTCGTTTATCCCTGGCTAAACGAAATGCTGGTGTCAGCAAACATATGAGAGTTATCGTCGTGTGTGACGACGATTAAAATGGAAGCCACTAAGAAGCGCCTTCGTAATGTTCAGTATTAGTGACGTACACTTAAAAATGAACTATCCCTTAGTGATATTGTAAAAACCGCACCCCCTAAAAACAAAAATGGTCATAAATCTTATAAATTGTACTTTAACTGTGGAAAAGGCTGTTTACAGTACTGTACTATGTTTACTTTTAGTTTCTTTTGAATGAAGATGACCACGAGCACAAGAATGTAGCCGAATTGACAAACAGGTTACAGCAAGAGTTACAGTTAGCTCATGTGAGTCAAGGCTAGATTCATTATCTTGTTCATAGCGAAGGGAGCTTGCTGAAGGACTCCTTATTTCTTTTATACCTTTTGATTTATTGAAATATTTTGGCCGCGGCAGATTTAGTCAGTCGATAGGGCGGCAAAGGTAGCTGTTGTGTACAGAGCGGGAGGTCGCGGGTTGGAACACCCAGACCTGACCAATAGTCTGGGCAGAGAAATGAAAATATTACTTTATCCTGCTAACGGCTTGACCTTCTTGTGGCTCGGGTGGTAGCTAGGGGACGTAAAAACAGTGTCCTCAATTGGTACTTTCGTTCTGAGTACATTGACGATTTTTGGAGGGCGAGGATTGTGGTATGATATTTGTCAAGCCGATAACATACGATGAAAATACAATTTCGTTATGAACGTTGAGACAACACTGATCTTCATTAATAGGGACCTTAAGATTTGAGGACGTCCTCCGTGTAGAACGCGACCGGAAGTTAAGATGAGCCTCTTGCGAGTATTGCGCATGACCATTCTTGGCTGGGACCGCGTTCAATCTCTGAACAGAACGCCATGTTTTGATTTTAGCGTCGTGAGTGGAACGTGAGTAGACTTTACCTGAAATTTTCATAAAATTGCACTTTCATTTGCCGATTTTTGTCACTTTTGTAATTCAGAACATATCTTCTTACTTTTGGTACGCCTCTCTTTTTTCCACAGGTGCAAAGAAGTGAGAAAACGCTAACAAATCACTCTGTTCAATGGCCTCGTGCGTATCCGGGATGTCAGAGTAAGGATTTTCCTTCACATGTTTTTCATATTTTTTCACACTTGTTTGAGGGTAGTGATAACGTACTTGACAGAATCGACAACTGTGTGTATTTTAATGTTTTCAGGGACTGAAGGCGAATTTTGTTTAATTCAGGGGGAAATTCATTTATGTTCGATTCTCAAACACGACCTAAACAGTTCAAAAACGTGAAGTTTGAGTGACATCGAAAAAATAAAAGGTTTACGAGCATCAAGCAACTTTTATGTCACCGAAACTTTATGAAAGCTTTTGCATGGCTTCCCGAAAGTTTTTATCTTACTGTTTTTCAACCGTGTCAGCATAACTTACAGTCTTCAATTGCCAATTTGCCTTCAGTTCCATTCTAACCATTTTGCTTGTTGTTATCATTCATTTGTAATTCACCTGCCCTCCACTGACTATGGATTATCCTTAAGTTTAACTGGCTGTATTTTATTATACTCAGAATAATTTGTTCAAAACTTTGTTTACTTTTAAAATTGACCACCATGCTGTCTGACAAAAAATTGATTTCTTTCATGCTTCATAGACAGTCTTTATAGTTTTGATCAGAAAAGAGAAATAAACTTGGATCAATTGATGTGAAAAAAAATTATGGAAATGTAGAGAAATTTACACATCAACCAACCCTGAGACTCTCTTTAAAAAGTGACGGTTGGTATTGAACAAGCTGGTTTTCAGTGGCAGTGAATACATGTTGTAGGTAAAAATGAATCCAGGTTAAAATGATTTCAACCTAGGTTGATTTGTATTTTTCTTTGTTAAGGTGGGTAATTTACATCTAAAACAAAGGAAAATACAAATCAACCTAGGTTGAAATCATTTTAACCTGGGGTTCATTTTAACCTACAACATACACACCTTTTTTTTTTTTTGCACAGTCTCAACTTTCCAGGAGTGCAAGTGTGGACTAAAGATCATGATCTACTTTTATGTAGAGAAGTTTTATCAGTCAATCCATACTCGGCCAAAAAAAATTCAAACGAACGAGGAAGGCTGTGGGACAGAATCAGTGCCAACTTGAACAGCACATCAGATGTCTACTTTTCTGTCACAAAACGATCAGTGCGTGACCACATTGCAGTTTTGATAAAAAAATACAAAAAGAAAATGAAAGATGAAGAAAAAGCCAGTGGAATAAACCCTGAACCCACAGAGCTTGAACAAGCACTAGCAGAGATAATTGAGATGGAAGAAGCTGCAGAAACTGAACATCAAGATGGTGATGGGAGAAGGAAAGAAAAAGATGAGGCTGACAAGCATAAGGCAGAAAGTATGAGAAAACTGGCTATGGAAAAGTTGGGAGAAACTCAGAAGAGGGCAGTTGAAGAGGGAGAGCAGGATTGTCAGAAGAAGAAGAGGAGAAGTGGGAATGATACAATTGAGTATCTGCGAGAGAAAAGTGAGAGTGACAAAGTACTCAAAGAGGAAGAGCTGTCACTCAAGCGTAAACAACAGGAACTGGAAGAAAAAAAGCTAACCTCATTTCTAGATCAGCAGAAATCCATGATGCAGTTAATGCAGGAGCAACAGCAGCAGCAACAGGTTCAAACTAATAACATCCAAATGATGATGATGCAACAGTCCCAGGCTTTCATGGCCGTGCTTGATAAACTTACCAACAAAATGGGCTAGAACTAGTGAACAACAAGTCTTTTCTGCCCACTAAGTTGTGTTTTAATTGGTTGTGTTTACCAGACAGGCTCTGAATATTAACAGATAAGACCTTGGCTTTCTGAAACTTTATTTCAACCTGTGTACTTGGTATTAGTCTCACCCTTTTTCAATGTTAAGGATTATTACATTTTAACTGTATAACTGGCTTGTATGTTTCAAGTACTTGTTGGATCTTTAATATTTCAATTTCATACATTTCACATATCAAAGTGAAATATTTTTTTAGTCTAAATAGACTGTCCAGTTGGAGCTGTTATAGACAAACAACAGAAAAAATGCTTTGTTGCTGTTAAGCTGTTGTTGTTGTTGTTATTGTGATAGGAAAAAAAATAGGGCATTAAGCAAAGTATTCTTGTAAAGTGGGGGGATCCAAATTGAAAAACTCGGAAGTGGAATTTCCATATAGGCATGTCAGGGCATTCCTGAGTAGCACACAAACTATGTACATTTTTCCTATTTGACTCAGGCCTATCTTTAAGTTTTTCTTGAAGTCAAGAAAACAGAAAGAATTCACCACATCCCCAAACAACCATTCCACTGAGGTTCGCACTGTGCTCATTGCGGCATTAAAGTTTTGCATCTGGGGGGTCAAGATTCCATTTCTAAATGGTGCTTGAATGTGTATTCGTAATGGATAAGCAGGATCCCCATAAATGCATAGTGGCTGGCCTGTTGGTGAGAATGCATAGCGTTGAAGATCATTGTAGAGGCCAGAGTCCCGCAGCATCCCTGCATCATGCTTTTTGCCCTCTGAAAAATACGAACAAAGAAACCCCAAAAACATTCATACTACATTCATGATGTGCAATGAACCTCTTGTCAAATTTGAAAAAAAAATTATTACAGGATTTTCTAATGGTAAAGAGAGTGTTACATACATAATGGAATGTAAGTTTCAGCTTGGGAGAGAGGCTATCTGATTTTTAGATTTTTAAATTTTGGATGTAGCACTCCACCCTTTAGTAAGGCAAATACTCCACATTAATTGTGTTTGCTTTATTGGATCTTGGTTAAGTTTTAAACTAAACATCCAAAATTATCTTAAACATCCAAAATCTATTTATCCAAAGAGGTTTATTTATTTAAAGGTCAAAGCCAGTGACTTGTATGGTTTGGGTTCAGTGTATATATTCAGATATAATTAAAAATATTTAGATTAAAAGTAACAAAAAGAAAACATATAACGAAATGAACAAACACAGACAGTTTTCTATATATCATGCAAACAAACAGAATATCAAATGGGGGCATGCGATTAGTGATTATGCAAGGATGTTCACTTGATGGTGTATCAAATGCTACAGCAGTTTAAAGAGCAACAGTGGAAGAGAAGACAACAGATCATTAGTCCAGTTGGTGTGTAAAAAGGTGATTCGATTTTTCAGGAGGTATCACTCATTAGCTCCTGAATTTTTTTTTAATCCATTTTTTTCCCAAGGTTTTCAGCTGAGGACTATCCTCTCAAGCAGTCTCAAGGTAAGAAAGAAACTTGCAAGTGAAAGCTATACTTAAAAAGAAAACTTACCTACAGGACCGTAAAGATTAGCAACTAATCCATTTGGCGTGACAACTGATTGAAATTTTAGGGCATGAACCCTTTTATGGCCATTGTATACCAGTCTTTGATTGAGGTCTGGTCGACAAATTGGCCGAACTGTTCCATCTACGAAGCCGAAACAGTTGTCCAGCGCTGCTCCTCTGTTCGAGACAGCGTCAGCATAGATCTGCAATGAATGGGCGTTCAGAACTGTGTGATTCCAACCAGTGATCCGGTGACTGTGGTGCTCAAAGATAAAATCAACAACTTGATTGCTTATCATTGAGATTTCAGGAACCGGTCTACCGAAAGTGCTCATCAAATCGCTGTATCGACATGGGTATGCAAGTCGCTTTAGCAACATACATAACGCTTCGGTGCCTCTGCAAACTGTCCCCTGTTTGCATGTGATCTTTTCTGGCAATCCAAGGACATTCAGCAGAAGAGGAATATCATTCTTTTGGAAGCGGAATTCTGTCTTGCATTCAGCCTCGTCTTTGTCTTGTAGGCAGAATTTCTTGTAATCCCAGTACGGATATTCTGGATTTTTCGAAGTGTTTAGGTCGTAAAGCAACAGAAATTCGTCTTCCGTGATCGAACCCTCGCAAAAGGTCAACAGAAGCAGGTCTCGCGCGTTCCTAAAAGTCGTCATGATATATAAAACAGCTTAATTCTCAGATGAATAGAAGTTTCACGTCTCGTTGTTTACGCGGAACTTCTTAAGTCAAAGTTCCCGCGTCTAGAACGTCGCGCTCTCCCCAGGCCCCTGTATGCCACGACGTTGGATTTTAAGACGCCGTCCTCAAATCTTAAGGTCCCTATTAATGTAACTCGGACCGATGATGATCTATCCGATCGACGATCTTCCAGGTTCTTGCTTTCATTGTTTTTTGTCTTTGCTTTTGTTTCTGTTTATTTATTATTTGTTACTTTCTTGACTTTTTAGGACACAATCAACCATTTAAAAGCACAGAACACTGAGCTGCAGGAAATTTTAGCAAACTCCGAGAACCCAGACAGCATGGAGCCTTCAGGAACAGAGAGTAGGTTCTCAATTAACACCTTCCTTTGTTGTTATCATATGATATTGGCCCATTTGTATTTACAAACACAGAGAACGTATATACCAAGACGCAACAAAACAAACAAACAAACAAACAGACTTCAAGGTCTCGTGGGAATTTTCTTGTTGGGTTGTACGTAATCAATGACTGTTCATACAGAAGGACCCTATGATATACTTCTACCCGGGCCCTTTTCTCTGTACAAGAACAGATTACTTAAACCAAGAAACCAAACAAAACAACAACAAAAACAAATGAACAATGAGATCTCGTTGGGTATTGTCTTTCTACCTTCTCTTTTACATTATTGGTACCTGCACACACAGTAGGACCCAATACTATGCTCGTGACGCTGTAGACTGTACATGAAATCCCGATGTGTGTTAATTTTTCACCAGCACTTGTGTCATAGTGTGTCGTTTATTCTACTGTGTTTTACAAGGTGGCGCTAACGTGTGGAACAGTGTATCATTTTCGAAGTGTTCAATGTATTTAGATTGAGTTTGAAGCTCAAGTAGGGACCCCTAGAGCTACCCCCCACCCCCCGCACTCCCTTCTCCCGGCAGATCAGGCAATCCAGGCAGAATAGGGTTACATGAGTCACTTTCTACAGTACTGGTAAGATACGGTAATGTGAACTTTGCAGAACTGCCTTGGTAAAGTTAACATGCGGGTGTACGCTCCTTGTTGTGACGATTGCAAATTAATATTTTAGCTTTTCACCACCTTAATGCCAAAGTGTTGGTTACGAAGCCTATAAATTTTGCATTTGAGGCTGCTTGCAGTCCGCCTTTTCTCTTAAAAACCGTCGAGTTCTCATCTCAGCCAGGGCGTTTGCAAACAAGACCGTTACAAAAAGGGATTGGGGCAACACGAAAAAAGACAGACTGCGGACTCTGCTTTGCCACGGAGTGCCCCTCTTTATTTTGAGCCTGTTTTTAAGCTTTGGCCTTTCCACAGGTTCAGACGAAGACGAAATCTCCAAATCAGTCCATAGAGGCTCGGGTGTGACGAACCAGCACAATGGCACCACAGACAGCGAAAATGGCGACATTCAAATCAAGAGGCTCCCACCTGACGTCATACCATTGCAGTCTACAGAACACATGATGGAGGAGGCGCCACCGTATATGAACGGAGATTTCAGTGAGAGAGAAAGCCAAGTGGAGACCGACTCCAGTGAGGAAATGAACATGGCACCTCACAGAACATTACATTCTCCACCTCCTCCTTCTAAATACACTGACCGGGAGGATATGGTAGGTGGTTACTTTATGTGACGTTCTTTTTTTTTTTGTTATTTTCATGGTCTAACTAACTTTTTAACGTAGATTGATAAGAAGTAAGTTGCGCGGGTCTACTGTTAGTAGTCTCGGTCAGCATCTCGATTGGATGGTTAGATGAGTGTGTGGAGGGCTCAATGGGTGGGCTGAGAGGTAGGTGAGCAGGTGATGGTGGTGATGATAAAGATGATAAAGAAGAAGAGAAGAAGATGGTGATGATAATAATGATGATGATGATGATGATGATGATGACGATGACGATGACGATGACGATGACGATGACGATGACGATGACGATAACGATAACGATGATGTGCACTTGGTACAGAGCGCTCAGTTATGACTATCGATATATCAATAAACGGATGTTCGCGCTCGGAAAACCAGTTTGACGATAAAAAACAAAATTTACTAGTCCAGAAGTTCGGGCGTCGGCGACTTCAAAGGCTTGGCGCAATTCAGGCAGAGCCTCCTTTTCTCCTCCTCACTGAAGACTAAGTCAAAAGGAGGCTCTGCTCGCAGAATGTAGCCTGTGTACAGACCCCCGCTCCCCTCAGGAATAAATCGATTTTTTCCTGAGGGAAGGGGGCTAGCATGATGTCTTTGCATGCATTTGAAAAATGAAACTTTGTGCTTTTGCTTTTGTAGGTGGATTCACTGTCAGCTTCCATCCGTCAGTTGGAGATGGAGCGAGACCAGTTAGCTGATATTTTACACAGAACTCAGGATCAGCAAGAGGATGATATTCTAAGACTGCAACAACACATGGAGTTACAACTCAAACAACAACTGCAGCAGCAATACAGACAAGTATGTCAGCAAGAAGAAAAGGGAAAAGCAAACAAACAAAACAAGAGTTCGATGATCTCTCGTACCATCAATTTTCTTTACATTTTTACCCTTCAGAAAATGTATGAAAGGGTTAAGAAGTCGGTCATTTCGGTCTGTAAAAAGGCCCAAAAGGACTGTCAAATGCATTTTAGAGTGGTTTTCGTTTGAGTGTCGTAAAACCAAAACCAAAGTAATTACTCTGGCCAATCACATAGGACACAGACAATACATTGAACCAATCAAAACTCGAAGTAATTACATGTGGCTGACGCAAAGCGCGGGAAAATCGTGCGAGCGCGTCACAATTGGCTTTGGTTTTACTTCTGATTGGATGAAAAGGTGGCGCGAATCTTTTAAGCCAATCGCATCGTGTAGAAAGTGCAAAACCAATTACTTTTCGACACTCAAATGAAAACCGCTCTATGGCTGTGAAAAAGTCATGAAAACGTTTTGGGTTTGTGATTTGTTCATGTTTTAAAGACAGCGCTTTTACTTGCAAAGTTCTAAACTAGACATGTGAAAGAGGTACCATTTGTATATTGAAGGTATACAAAAGGGGTCCTTTTCTGTCAAAAACGGTATATGAAAGGGCAAAGGGTTGGACCTCGGGGCGGAGCCTCCCCTTAGAAAAAGTTGTTGAGTAGAATGCAAGTAATGAAATTAGTCTTTGGAAAGTACGCCAACAATCCACTTCCTATGATCTTTGCAGATTCAAGAGCAGTTCCAACAACAGCTTCATGAGCAACAGCAGAAGATTCATCTGCTTCAAGCCTTGGTAGAGAAACAGAAGGAGCAGATAGAGAGAAAAGAGGAGCCTGAATTACCTAACATACCACTGGATCAGATTGAACAGGGGGACATGCCACACGATGCTATTAAGATGGCTTTCAGTAAACTGCAGGTATGAAACGCGTCTAGCGTGACCGCTTTATTTCTGTCACGCAACTTTAAGGCGGTCACGCAAAAATTGAAAGCCAAAGGAAGGTTTTCTCTTCTTTTTGAGTGTTTACGTGTCGCTTTAACTTAAGGATTTGTCGTGACATCAGCATCTGCGTTTAGCGTTCACGGAGTCTGTCTTTTACTGTGGGTTTATTATTAATGAGATGTTAGTGTGCGAAGCAGGCAAACCAGGGGAGTAGAGAACCTTCCCTTCACTTCCTACCACTGTCATCATTGCCGGATCCAGACCTTGAGAGAAGCGGGGGGCCCGATCATCCAGACCCTCCTAGATAAGGGGGTGGCGGGGGGCTTTTTCCAAAAAAAGTTTTTTCGGCCCTCCGGGCCTCAGTTTCGTCTAAAAATAAGGGCGGGGGGCCGGCTCCCCCGGGCCCCTCCCCTTGATCTGCCACTGGTCATCAATTTATCCTTGCTGGAATTCAATATTAAACTTGTTCTGGATATAACAAAACAACAGCAGTGCTGCTCAAGGAGCTTCAGGTAAATAATAACAGTTATGATTTTCACGTGGTGAAAGGCACGTTCAAAACCCACGTTGTGGTTGTCAGCATTGACGGATTAAGTGGCTTTCGGCTGTAGGTTACATGAGTCTCATGTTAACACGTATAACCAAAACAACATCAAAAACAAGGTTGGGGGGGGGGGGGGGGGGAAAAACTTTTACCGGGTTCTTGTCTTTTCCTTTTGGGCATTTCCATTTTTTAAGTTTTTTTTTTTAGGGGGGGGTTTATTTATGTTAAAAAATAAAAAACCCGCCTTATTGGAAAAATTAAAAAAAGTAAAAAATGTTACGGCCAACCTTTCCGTGAAACAGCACACATCG